GGTGTTGAGGTGGCTGGTGCTGCTGTGGTGCTCTGAATGTCAGGTCTCCTGTTCCAGTGGCTTTTTACTGCTGCAGGGTGTCCCTGGGTCATGCTCCCATGGCTGTGCTGGGAATGCCGGGAGCTGGACATGGGCAGGCGTGATGGTGTGGTGAAGCTTCCTGGAAAGTCTGGCTGTGCAGCTGCACACGGGGCCTTTGAGCCAGCAGTGGCCGCAGGAGGGGCTGGGAGGGTGCCCTGCACCTTCTGCCTCTCCCTGGGAAGCTCTTCCCCATATCTCAGGAGGCAGGCGAGAGGGTGTTTCTGCCATAAACCTTCTTCTGTAGCCTTATTTCTCCTGTCGTTTCATTAACAGAGCTTGAAAAGGGTTGTCCTCTTTGGTGGGACAAAGCTGGGAAGTCGGTTGCATCAGAGGTAGGGAAGATCCCACTGAATCAGGCGTGGGCATCACCCATAAATCACTGCCGCCGGTGCGATGTCCATCGTGTCTCACAGAGGGTGAAACTGAGCCCCTGTTAGTAAAGGGGACAGAGGAAGGTCGGGACACCCAGGAGGTGTCCCGTGGGTCCAGCACTGCTGCCCCAAGGGGCTGGGGGCTCACCCAGTGCACACCTTGCTCTTCCTTAACCCTCTCAATAGCAGGAATCCCTGGTTTCTAATTAGCAGCAGAAGGAAGAGAGAATTTGAGGTCTGCTCGAAGGCATTGGGGAATCTGCTTCTGTGAACTCCCATCCCCAAATAATCCCCCCAAAAAGCAGTAAAACGTGAAGTGCCCACATAACCCTTTACATCGGGGCAACTGGGTTGCCTCAGAACAGTCTCCTCCACTGCAGCAGTACCATTTCCCTCTTTGCAAAGCCCTGATACCCATCTCTGAAACGCTGGTGATAAACACCGAGATCCTGACACCAGGTTGGCTTGTTTTCTGCCACCTCTACCTTAGAGCTGCACCGCAGCTCTTGCACAACACTTGCCTCTCAGGGCCCCTCTCCACTGCAGCTATTCAGCTTGAAAATACTGTTTCCTCCTTTTTCTGCATGACATCTTTTATTTGTGCAGCTTCTGCTTCGGGCACCTGCACGAGTCGCCCCTCTTCTACCAGACACACCGCAGTGGGTTTCACTTGCTTTTGGTCATTGCTGCTTCCATCCCCACCGACCACCCGACACCGTGGTGATGGTCCTGGGCAGCTCAATGGCAGGGTGCTGTGCTGAGGGGCTCCTAGCCCATGGCTGTGCACCTCCGGGCAGCATTGGTGCTCAGAGCCGGTGGCGCAGCCCCATGGCGATGGGTCATTGTTTTCCTCCTGACTCAGCATCCCGGCTGCATGGATTTTCTGCTGGAGTTGCAGATTGTTCCCTGTTTCCTGGGCTCTCTCTAGCACATCATCCACTTTGGGATTCCTTTGTGTTATGCTTCCCAGGGACCTGGTGTCTCTCATCAAACCCTTTGTGGCTGCTTTGTGGGGTGCCCTACACTGCTGAGCTCTGCGGAGGGCAGCTCGGTGGGATGTGGATATTGCTGTGATGGGGCTGTGATTTGTCATTGCCCTGGCACATCACAGCAGCTGTGGTGCTGTGACTGAGTCCATCTGCACTTCCCGGTATTCCAAAGTCCTGCAGCTCCTGGCTGAGCTGCTCTGGTCCTGCTTGCTGGGCTGACCTGCCCTCCTCCGTGCCCTGGGGCCGGCACGCTGCACCCTCCTTGTCACACTGGGTGATGCTTGTGCTTGGCAGCTTCCCCATGGTGCAACGTGCAGCGGTAGCAGTTTGACTTTGCTTCCCGTGTGTTAATCCAGGAGGCTGGGGAGAGGCAGCCGGAGGTTTGGGAAGGGTTGGGAAATGGGACTGCAGTGGATGTGATGCAGAGGAGCGAAACCCCAGCTTCTCCTTTGAGCCTCGTGTGGGGTTTCACGCCGCGTGGTAACAGTGGGGTTTGGGACTGATGCTCACCTCTATGTGGAAGAAATGGCTATGGAAATGCCTTGGTTTTCAGCGAGGGGAGGCAGGTAACGCTCTCATCCGGACCAGCCCTGGCAGGTTATCCCTGCCCGCTCCCTCTTGTTAGCTTGGCTGCATCCATTACACTGCCATCCCGCCTGGCACTGGGGGGCTGGGGTGGCTCCCTGTGGAGCAGAGCACCCACCTCCCCTGTCCCTGCTCCGCAGGGTGATGTGAGAAGAGCCCGGCATGCCGTACCTGGACCGGCAGAACCGTATCTGCGGCTTCCTGGACATCGAAGAGAATGAGACCTGTGGCAAGTTCCTGCGGAGGTACTTCATCCTGGACACCCAGGCCAACTGCCTCCTGTGGTACATGGACAACCCCCAGGTATGCACCCGTGCTGCTCCCAGCTCCACCTCCATGGATGCTGTGGTAACAAGAAGGAGAAGAGGTTATCCTTGTCACCTTGGCAGCGGTGTCATGCTGCAGATGTTAGACTGGGGGGATGGAGTATCTCTGTGTTGTGCCCAACATCTGGGAGCTGCCCCAGTGCTTGCAGTCAAGCCCAAAAGAGCCAGGGCCAAAGCCGAGCTCTAGGAAGACCTTCCTGAAACCCCACAGTGCTCGAGAACTGCTGGCACCAGCCTTCCTGAAGAGCATCTCGCAGTGGGATCTCCGTTAAAGGGAAGGGGAGATGCCTGCAGGGTCCTGGCTGGAGTCAGCTTCCCCCTGCTCGGGATGCAGCCCGGGCTCTCGTACCTTCTCCCTGCTATTGACCTCCTGTTGCATTGCAGAACCTGGCCATCGGCGCGGGAGCTGTCGGCTCTCTGCAGCTCACCTACATCTCCAAGGTAATGTCGGGGCGGGGAGGAGGGAAAATGAACGCTCCCTGTTGTCCCTGTATCCGTGCGGCTTTCCTGGGAGAGGCAGTGGCTCGTCCTGCTCCTGCGGTGGGAGCCTGAGTGCTAAAGGGCAGCACCCTGAAGGACGAGACCTTTTGGAAGCTATTTGAGTGTCTTAATGGCATCATCCAGCTTCCACGGGGAGGCAGATACAGTGCAATAGGTAACAACCTGTATGGATGCAAGCGTGGGAAGTGGAGCTGCCCCTCGGCCGGGCTCAGCTCCCTCCGGAGCTGGATGGAGGATCACGCAGATCTCC